TGATTTTGTTTTTGTAAAAGTTTGAGAATTTCAATGTCATTAAGTCAAAATATTATTAAAAAGATTCAAACTCATGTAAGTTAAAAATCTAGATATGATATTTTCCTATTTACTAATTTTTTAAAAATAATTTTAATGAAAACACTAAAAACATCTTTTTTATGTTCCATATTTTCACTTGTTTTTGTTTTTATTTTCCAAAAATAATTTATGAAGTGTGACATAACAATTAATAAAATTGATAAAATTATACATTTAGTCCTTATTATTTTTATATTATATTAAATTAATAACACAATGTCACCATCTAATTGGAGGAAAATTAATTGAAAGCAAGAAGTTGTTGAAGGGATTTGAATTTGGATGTCCAGAGGATAAGGCACGCTTCTACCGCTACCCCAACAATTAGGGGTATTCAAACGGTTAATTCAGTTAACCGACAAAATCAAATTACAAAATTTCATTAATTTATTTTTTTCTCCTTTAATCGTTAACCAATCCAAATTTTTTCAAAAAAAACAAATTACCAAACCGAACTAAGTTCGGTTAATTTATTGGTTAACCAAAATTTATAAATAATATATATTATATTAAATATTGAATATTTTTGCTTATTCGATTAATTCGGTTAAAACTAAAATTTAAACGCTCCTAAAACTAAATAATATATATATATAATATTAAATATTTAATAATTTTAGTTATTCAGTTAATTAATTGATTTCGAATCAAATTAACAGAACTCGAAGTTTAAAAAAAATCATTAACTGTTATCCAATCGAACTCAAAATTAACCGACCGATTAACTAACTAAAATTTTAATTCGTTCGGTTAATTTGATTTTAACCGAATTATAAACGCCAATACCGACTATCATATTTGGTTAAAGTATTACAACATATGTTATTTATCTTGTATTAGAAGTAATGTCATAAAAATAAAACATAAAAGAAATAATAAAAAGGAATCAAACATGAAACTTATTAGGGAATACAGAAGCACAAAAATTACCGAAGTAAATTTAATTATTGATTTATTAATAAATACATTTTTTATATATTTTAAATTATCCAATCATATCGTGGCAAGTGTCATGACACATGTCACCAATGACATGTGGTGCATATGATTAGATAATTAAATAAATTAAATTAATTTAAAATTATGACTAATTTGATGGAATATGCAGATATATCAATTTTGTTAATCGTCATGTTAGCACTTTCATTAAATGTTAATAACAAGTGGCTTGATTGATATCATTTAAATAATGAAGTGATATGATTGAAAAAACTAAAAGATCGATGGTCAAAATGAAAAATATAATAGCTCTGTGGTCTTGGACATAGTTTACCCTTTATTTTTAACGAATAATTTCAATCCGATTTCGAATTTTCGTAAAAATAAAAGGTGTTAATTAATTAAAATAAGGATCTTGAAAACCAATCATCAGCACGCATTTAGTTCCCAAGCGTTGTCCAGAACTCTCTAGCTTCATAACCTACTTTCTTTCTCCTCTTATCTCGAATTTTCTTTTCTTCTTCGCACAACCCCTCACTCATATATATACACGACTCTGTCTCCCATTTTTCATATCCAATTTCATCAAAGAAATTGATACGTACACGAAAGCGCTCACAAAAATCTTCTCCAAAACTACTCTAAATTCTTCTTCTTACGTATTTCTTTTGTCGTTTTTGCTGTCAAGTTTTAATGGCGGCCAAAACTGAAGGCAAGGCAATTGGGATTGATCTCGGGACGACATACAGTTGTGTTGGGGTGTGGCAGAATGATCGAGTGGAGATTATTGCTAACGACCAAGGCAACCGGACGACGCCGTCCTACGTCGCTTTCACCGACACAGAGCGGCTCATCGGTGATGCAGCGAAAAACCAAGTCGCCATGAACCCTCATAACACCGTTTTCGACGCTAAACGTCTCATCGGTCGTCGATTCTCGGACCCATCGGTGCAAGCCGACATGAAGCATTGGCCTTTCAAGGTCGTTCCCGGTGCCGACGATAAGCCTATGATCGTGGTTAATTACAAAGGTGAAGAGAAACTTCGCTGCCGAAGAGATTTCTTCGATGGTGTTGGTCAAAATGAAGGAGGTTGCCGAGGCTTACTTGGGGCAAACCATTAAAAACGCTGTCATCACCGTGCCAGCTTATTTTAACGACTCGCAAAGGCAGGCAACTAAAGACGCCGGAGCCATTTCGGGGCTTAATGTTATGAGGATTATCAATGAACCGACGGCTGCTGCGATTGCTTACGGTCTTGACAAGAAGGCGTCGAAGTCCGGCGAGAAGAACGTCTTGATTTTCGATCTGGGCGGCGGTACTTTTGATGTATCGTTGTTGACAATTGAAGAAGGGATATTTGAAGTTAAGGCAACTGCCGGGGATACTCATTTGGGCGGCGAAGACTTCGACAACAGGCTTGTTAATCATTTCGTTCAAGAGTTCAAGAGGAAACATAAGAAGGATATTAGTAGCAACGCAAGGGCTTTGAGGAGGCTGAGGACTGCATGCGAGAGGGCGAAGAGGACACTTTCGTCCACTGCTCAAACCACCATTGAAATCGATTCGCTCTACGAGGGTATTGATTTCTATTCAACTATCACAAGAGCAAGATTCGAGGAATTGAACATGGATTTGTTCAAGAAATGTATGGAACCCGTCGAGAAATGTCTTCGGGACTCCAAAATCGACAAGGGTCAAGTCGATGAGGTTGTTCTTGTTGGTGGGTCTACTAGGATTCCCAAAGTTCAGCAACTTTTGCAAGATTTCTTCAACGGTAGGAGCTTTGCAAGAGTATAAACCCCGATGAGGCCGTTGCATATGGCGCTGCAGTCCAGGCCGCTATTCTGAGCGGTGAAGGGAACGAAAAAGTCCAAGATTTGCTTCTTCTTGATGTTACTCCTCTCAGCCTTGGGCTTGAAACTGCTGGTGGAGTGATGACAGTCTTGATCCCAAGGAACACGACGATTCCCACCAAGAAAGAGCAGATTTTCTCGACCTATTCCGATAATCAGCCTGGTGTTTTGATTCAAGTTTACGAAGGTGAAAGGGCTAGAACCAAAGACAACAATTTGCTTGGTAAGTTCGAGCTATCAGGGATCCCACCAGCACCGAGAGGGGTGCCTCAAATCAATGTCTGTTTTGACATCGATGCAAATGGTATCTTGAACGTATCTGCCGAAGATAAGACTTCTGGAGTGAAGAACAAGATAACAATTACAAATGACAAGGGAAGATTGAGCAAAGAAGAGATCGAAAGAATGGTGCAAGAGGCAGAGAGGTACAAGGCAGAGGACGAGGAAGTGAAGAAGAAGGTGGAGGCCAAGAACGGGATAGAGAATTACGCTTACAATATGAGGAACACTGTGAAGGACGACAAGTTTTCCGGGAAACTCGACCCGGCTGACAAGCAGAAGATTGAGAAAGCCATTGATGAGGCAATTGAGTGGCTTGATGCTAACCAACTGGCAGAAGTTGATGAATTTGAGGACAAGTTAAAGGAATTGGAGGGGACATGCAATCCAATTATTGCAAAAACGTATCAAGGTGTTGGTGGTGGAGATGTGCCGATGGGTGGTGGTGCTGAGATGCCTAATGGCGGTGGAAGTGGTGGTGCTGGATCCAAGATTGAGGAAGTGGATTAAATTGAAGTCTCATCAATGGATTTGGGACTGGCCTTGAATATGAGATGAGTTGCTGTTGTGTCTATTTTCCTTGTGTTTTTAATCTTTGCTTTGGTTTCTGTAATGAATGCCCTATGTGAGGCTGTAGATCTGAAACATAATCATGCAATAACAAACATAATCTTCAATTTATCTCATTTTACATATTAAGTCAAATCCTGAAAACTAAAATCAAGTATGGTGATCGTTTCACAATCTTGTACTTGGCATTTGTTAGAGCCATGAATTCAAGTATATAATAAGCAGCAGAGAGGTGGATAAAATGGGTCTCGAAGGATGGAAACAAGCATCCGAGACGGAAGCGCGATGGCCTCTTAGCACAGCCACCGGGTCAGGCGGTGGTTTCTTGCTCTTCAAGCTCATTCCTTTAACCAAATAGCGTATATCAGAATAACCCTAATTAGCTAATATCTTGCAAATAATCATCTTTATTCAGTAAATATCAGAAGTTATCCTAAGGAAACCATGTAAAATTTTAGTTTAGTATTAGCCTATCCGAACGTTTTTCGTTAATCACGTTTAGCATTTAAATTAAGCAATATCTATCTTAATTTATAAAAAAAAGCATAAATTTCAAATTAGTTAGGCATTTTTATGAACAAAAGAAATTAGCTTTGATTGTAAACTGTGGCAAATGTTTGCTTTTATGAAATGAAATTGCCTATCAAAAGAAGAAAAATGAAAAAGAAATTAGCTTTGATAAAGACTTACCAAATGCAAGTCAAGCTTTCACAGTCATGCAGTTGGGTGGAGAAGAGTTCTTAAGCTTAGAAAGATTGCACAGAATCTGATTATTCTCCTAAACACAACTATGTACGTGTGAGATGGGCTGCAATAACATTATTAGCAATATATAGACTCCACATTCACTTAATTCTCTTTCTCCGTTAACTTTCTTTTCCCATCAGTTTCCTTATTTCTTAGCCACAATTCATCGAACGCTTGGTGAGCATCTGAAAACAGCAAAATCAACCTTTAACCGCTTAAGGAGAGGTGAGGAGAGAGCTTTTATTTTCCTTTCTGGTAAGTGGGCAAAGCAATTTCCTATTTTCCTTTCAGTTCCTTTTCCTGAACTTGCAACTGGGCAAACCCGGTTTCTTTACCCGTTGTGGTTTTGTTTTCAACGGTTGAGCTTGTAAGTTTTTACATCTAAGATTTGATTTTTATTAGACCTTATTAAGGGCTCCTTTTAGAAATTTCCGAGTTGAGCCCAATAAAAGAAGAGCCTGTTTGATATAATAAGAAAAGCCTTATCTATAGCTATTTGTGGTGGTCCTTGTTTTGCTACCTTCAATTATAACCCTCCCAATAGAGTTTAGAAAATAAAGAAATCAGAAATTGTAAACGTTCTCAGATCCGACTCATGACTCTAATCGAGAAAGAACAATGGCTTCAACATTCAGTGGCGATGAAACTGCTCCTTTCTTCGGTTTCCTGGGTGCTGCTGCTGCCCTCGTTTTCTCATGTAAGCAATTTAGATGATTGGTCTACGTAAAAAATATATTTTTCCCTCCATCTTATACGCCGAGGATCTGTGTTGTTTGGGGTTTTGATCGGATGTTTCGCAGGCATGGGAGCCGCTTATGGGACCGCGAAAAGTGGGGTTGGTGTGGCGTCGATGGGTATGATGAGGCCAGAACTGGTGATGAAGTCGATCGTTCCCGTGGTTATGGCTGGTGTTCTCGGTATTTATGGCTTGATTAATGCTGTTATCATTAGTACCGGAATTAACCCAAACGCTAAATCCTATTACCTTTTCGACGGATATGCTCATCTCTCTTCTGGCCTCGCTTGCGGAATTGCTGGTCTTTCCGCTGGTATGGCTATTGGGATCGTGGGCGATGCTGGCGTTAGGTAATGTTTTTTTATCTTCCTTAAACGTGTCAGTTGATGTTTACTTGGTTTATACTTCATGATCACACCCGTTTGTTGCATTTTCTCTATAGAAAATCGATATTATACCCGGGGTTTTGATGTTAACCTGCAAAGTAAGCCCTTTACTTGATTGTTAGATCAGCTTGGGAGAATTCTATGTAGGTTTTCCTTAAACGTGTCAGTTGATGTTTACTTGGTTTATACTTCATGATCACACCCGTTTGTTGCATTTTCTCTATAGAAAATCGATATTATACCCGGGGTTTTGATGTTAACCTGCAAAGTAAGCCCTTTTTACTTGATTGTTTAGATTCAGCTTGGGAGAATTCTATGTAGGTTCTGTTGTAGGACATGAATTAAATTGAGATGATGTAATGGATGTTATGATTGTTGACAATGAGTGTTGTTTATGCATATTATTCTTGTTATATATCCCCATATCCAAGTGCTGGACATGTGTACAGTGAAGAGTCCGAACAACATATATTAGTGTTATATCACTGTTGAACTATTGAACTACTATTGCGTTAGGCTTGAACTGAATTGAGATGTTGTGACAGTTCTTGTGATTGTTGGGAGGGAAAGATGAATGTAATTTGAGAAATATATCCCCTTAAACTAATGCTATATACTATTTTTCCTTTTGTGCCACTGCCAGTTGATATTTACTAGTGCTGTTGTTGATGATATGTTGCTTTGTTTTTGCAAGTAGTATCACTTTACTTATTGGGTTTTGTATAGCTAATGCATAAATTTAGATGCTGTAAGGGCACTTACGAATTATGATTGTTTGTGAGGAAAGATTAATGTTGTTTCAGAATTATATTGTCCCTTAAAGTAGTGTTATACCGCTGTCGGGTTTTTATGCTAATATTCTTTTTGTTTAAGATGATATTCATTACTACTATCGGTCCTTTGATTTTGCAATTGGTATTACTTGGAACCTCGTCTTATTTTTCATTTGGAATTTGCAGAGCTAATGCACAACAGCCAAAGCTCTTTGTTGGGATGATCCTCATTCTTATCTTTGCTGAGGCATTGGCACTATATGGCTTGATTGTTGGCATTATTCTCTCTTCCAGACCTGGTCAGTCACGAGCGGAGTGATAAAGGCATAATCAGTGACTCATATGGTTCCTTGTAGAGTTGTTCAATACATTCTTCTTTCTTTTGGATGATTATTTATGTTTGTGTTCTGGCTAATTTTAGTCACTGATTTTAGTAAATATAAGATATTACTACTTTTATTTTTATTTAATTAAGATGTGGTAATCCGAGTTAACTATCATTAATCACAATTAAATATTTTAATATAATCACATTTAATTCGATTGATATATTATTTCAATTTATTCATACTTTTGATAAATTAAAATAAATTTAATATTCCAATCGAATGATATAATGTGTCACCATTCAGTTAGATGACTAGTTTTATTTTGATTTAAAATATTTATTTTCACTAATCAAAGAGCGGCACGAGTTGCCCTTTGGTTGAAGGAAAGGAAGTTGGAGGGTAGGAATTCAAACCTTTTTCACATAAGAAAGTAAACATGTATCTAACCTTTAAACCAAGACTATTGTTTGGTTTAAAATCGACAACATGGTATATATATTTTGTATCTTAGTGTATAAATATTTAAATTTATAATATTTTATATATTAACTTATTAAATATATTTTATTATTAACTTATTTTAAAAAAAATTATTTTTATTTTTAAAAATATATTTTATATTAAAATATATTTAAATATATGACTAAATTAAGAGAATATGTAAATAAAATTAATTAAATGTGTGATTTTATCAATTATTGCGTTACATATTATGTTAATTATTAACAACAATTAATTTGTGATGATGACATCTTAATTTAAATAAAAATTAATGCCTCTTAATTAAATAAAAAAATAATTATATCTTATATTTTTTAAAATCAATGATTAAAATTAGATAAAATACAAATATAATTAATCATCCTTGTAGTTAACCCACCCTTTAAAACAGGTTTAATCAGACAAGGTGTTGTTTATTTGATGGATGGAGTCCTGTGAAAGCAGAAGATAGAGGCCTAGAGCCTAGACTTCTTTTTCTTTTCTCTCTGGGCTGAACCTTTTCTTTCTGCTGTTGTTTTGATTCTCCGAGTTGAACTTGAAAGTGCCAGCTATTGCTCTTTTATTATATGAAGGTTCCTTGTGAAGTCATTAATCAACATTCAATGTGGGCGGCATAAGCATGGAATGCCAATTTATCCATCAAAGCTTTTACATAAGCTCATCCGTAATGTTGTCTCTCAGCTTCATCATGATCTGAATCACAAGGGTTTCATTGTTAGAGAAGATTCATTGCAGTGCATCGCATCATATTGAATCTAGCTAGCTACTTTCTGGTTGCGTGCAATGATATCACTTGGGCCTCCTTTTGACAGTGACACGTCAACAGAGAGTAGGCGTTAATAAATGGGAAAAAAGAGTATGTTGCCTGCTCTGGCACATGCTACTTACTGGTTAAGTGCATCATTGATCTCTTTGGGAGGAAGTCTCCATATTTTACTAGTTACTACCCCTAGTGCGGTTAAATTTGAATCCTGCTGACGTTCTAGTTACTATAATTCTTTACTTTTTATCTAAATAATATGTTAAAAGGATTGGGAGCTATTCTTTTTTTTTAATTTTTGAGATAGTTGATTATGTCATCAAGTAAAGATGTGTCCAGTCAACTGAATTTCTGGGGTATTTTTATAAAACTCATATTTTTAATTATTTCGAGAATTAATAAGAAATTGATGTGAATTCTAAAAAATAATTGGTTAACGGTCATATTTTGATATCTTGGGCAGACAGGGAAATCGTTTGTTTGATGTGGTGACCCGATTGAACATGGCGTGGCTTGCTCTTCTGAAGCCATATTTACGCACTGTGGTCGTGGGACCCTCTCTACTCTCTATCTGCAGCTGCAACCGCCCTATCAATTTTCTACATCTCTCCTCTGCTCCTCTTTTAAATTTTATGCTGATCTTGTGGGACCCCCATGTACTCTATTTTATCTATTGCCGTACAGTTTCTTTCGCTATAAATAATAAGCCCCTCAACTATCCATTGAGGTCCGACGTGGCCACAATCTAATTGATAATGGGGAGCTCCTTCCTTCCCCCTTAACGGCTATTTCTCCCCATTCTTACCACGTGTCTTTCCACTTTAGACGTTATGCTTTTGGCGGGATTTTACCTGATGGGTTCTTAAACGGCGCCGTTTAAATAACAGCACTAAAGAAGAATTGAAAACTAGCAAGGAATGATGGTAATGATGATGGAGAAATTTGCAATTAGATACGAGATAACGATGAAAACTCAAAATACATTTTAAAACATTATCAAACTGGGGAGGGTAGAGAGGTTGTTGGATCAGCGGAAGATGGAATTTCTGGTCCAACTCTACAACCTTCCAACATGAAGACGATGTCCGCCATGGCTGGCCTATCAACTGCCTCAGGTGCTGTGCAAAGCAGACCCACTTTCACCCCTAACAAGAACTCTTCCCACTCTGATGATTCTGGGTCTAACTCAAGCAGCCCTGGCTTTATCAACTCCGAGATTTCCCCCTTCTCCAATTGTTTTTTCACCCATTTCACTATGTCTTCTTCATCTTGGCTAAACATCACCGGTTTTCTTCCCGTCAGAATTTCCAACATTACGATCCCAAAGCTGTACACATCGGCTTCTCTTGTGACTTCACCTGTTAAAACAGCTTCCGGTGCTACATACCCTGCACTTCCAACTGGGGTTGAAGACGATGACGCTTCAGCTTGGGTTGCTATTATGAGTTTCTCGAGTCTGAATTCCGATAAATGAGCTTCAAAATCGGCATCAAACAGGACGTTTTGGGGTTTGACATCACCGTGAACAATTGATAAAGAGTGCAAAAATGCCAGGCCACGAGCAATGCCAAGTGCAATGAGATGAAGCATTGGCCAATTGACCATATGCCCCTCTTGGTGAGATGCTTCTTGGAGGAGGGTTGCTAGGTTTCCATTAGGCATGTAATCATAAACAAGGAGTCTTAAATCCGGTGGTCCAGCATAGTAACCTCTTAGGACTGTTATGTTCCGATGCTTTACCTTCCCCAACAATTCGGCTTCTTTTCTAAAGGTAGCTTCTTCCATCGATCCATCAACGAGACGACAGATAGATAGGACCATTCCATCTTGAAACGTTGCCTTGAAAACAAGTCCATATCTTCCCCGATTCAAGACATTTTTCTCATCAAATTGCCTTGTCGCTTCGAGTGTCTCCGCTAGCGTTATCTTGTTATTGAACATGACTAGTTTTGGACCTCCATTTTCACTACTTCCATGACTCCAGTCAGCTCCTGAACTTGCACGAGCCGGACTCCTCTTCTTCTCCCCGGTTGCCCATCCTCTCAGCTTCTGCCACCACCGTATAAGGCTGTAAACATATCCACAACAAAACACAGCAAAAACGCAAGCTCCGCAAACAATCATAGTAATCAGTTGAATCAGCTTCCTCTGCTTTTTTTTCCTTACACTTGCACATTCTCTTAATGGCTTACCACAAAGTTTTGCATTCATTGAAAATACAGAAGCATCGTTGAACCGAGAACCTAAGGCATTCGGAATCGCACCTTCGAGATTATTTCTCGACAAATTCAAGTACTTCAAGCTAGACATGTTTGAGAAACTTAATGGAATGGCTCCACTCAATCTATTCGAGGAAAGATCCAAACTTGTTAAGTTGGATAGTTTTGACAATGAATCTGGTATGGTACCTGAGAGCTGATTTCCATCTAATAACAAAGTAGTCATAGAAGAACATTTGGAAATTTTCTCTGGGATTACACCATCTAACTTATTGGAACCTAAATCAAGCTCTTTCAAATGAGATAATCGAGACAAATCACCTGGTGCATTACCCTTTAGTTGATTTGAACGAAGCTGAAGCACTTCAAGATCAGTGCAATTACCAAGCTCCACTGGTATCCTACCCGAAACTCGATTGTGGGACAACGAAAACGCAGCCAGTGACTGCAAAAACCCATAGGTACTCGGAATCCGACCAGTGAATTCATTAGCACTAAGATTCAAGTATTGTAAACCAGCCAAGCTGCTAAAACCTTCAGGAACATCACCGGATAACCTGTTTTCTTCTAAAGCAACGACCTGCAAACTTGGCAGCCCAAAAAGTTCAATAGGTAACTCACCGGAAAGCTGCTGCTTACTTAAATCAAGAGATTTTAATTTCATCAAACTTCCAATATTCCCAGGAATCCTCCCTGAAAACCCGCAAGCACTTAAATTTAGAACCACCAAACTAAATAAGTGCGACAACCCATTAGGGATTTCCCCATAGAATTTGTTGTCACTGAGATTTAAAGTAGTTAAATTACCCAACCGGATTATATCTTCCGGCACGGTTCCGGTCAAGTTATTTCCACTCAAGTTCAACGTTTCAAGTTCTGAAATGCTCCCGAACCCGAACGGAATTGAACCGGAAAATAGATTTCTTCCCAAAGATATGCTTCTCAAGATCCTCATTCGACTTAAAACGACAGGTAATTTACCGTAAAACCGGTTTCCTTCTAAATCGACTACCTTTAACGAACTGCAATGTAGGAGTTGACTGGGAACCGAACCAGTTAGCGAGTTGTTGGCCACTCTGAGCTCTTGTAAGTTGAAAAGGTTACCAATTTCGGCTGGCAGTAAACCGGTAAAGAAGTTTCCAGAAACATCCAAAACTCGCAACGTGGTCAAACTGGTAAACCAAGATGGGAAAACGCCATGGATGTGATTCTCGTGAAGGTCCAAAACCTCCATAACCGCAACGCAACTTCCATTATTTCGCGGCTTAACAACTTCCTTGAATTCATTTAATCCTAGATGTACGATTCTCAACGACGCTGTTTTGTTCCCCGATGGTTTACAGAAAACGGTTTCGGGAACCGTGCCGGAAAATCCGTTACGGGATAAAGCAAGCACTTGAAGATTCGGAACCGCGACAATGCTTTCCGGAAGCAGTCCTTGAAGCATATTGTCTTCGGCGCTCAAATGTATCAACGAAGAAATGTTGGCTATAGCCGACGGCAATGTTCCGTACAACTGGTTCGAATCGAGCCAGAGATACTCCAGTTGCTGGAATTTTCCAATACTCGCCGGAACTTCACCAGAAAACCGGTTGTATGAGAAATTGATGAGTTGCAGTTGAGATTGTGTCGAGATATTGAGCGGCATTTCCCCCGAGAAATCGTTTGAGGATAAGTCCAGGCACCGAAGGGACGGCAGAATCACGGCGGTGATTTTACCAGAGATATAATTATGAGCTACATTTAGGACTTGTAAATTGGAGAGGTTAAAAATGGAAAGCGGGAGGTTTCCGGAGAGTGAGTTGTACTGGAAGTAAACGACGCGTAAGAGAGCGCACTGAGAGAGCGTGTCAGGGATGGAGCCTTTAAAGTTGTTAGAATGGAGGCTTAGTTTGCGTAGCTCACGTAGGTCGAATAACTGATCCGTGAGTCGGCCACCGAGTTGGAGGCGAGGCAAGAGGAGCTCGCGAACTCGGTCGTTGTAACAGACAACGCCACGCCAGTCGCAGGGAGCTGACGGCGTGGACGGGTCCCAGCCGTCGAGAGCACCAAGTGGATCGCTGAAAACGCTCCGTTTGAAGGACGTCAGCGCTCCGATCTCGTATGAAGTGAGGACGCTGTGATTTTGAGCATAAGAAGATGGAAGGACGAGATTGAAGGTGAAGAAGGTAAGGAAGGAAAGAAGGATAGCCGTTGTTTCCATGAAGGTGAAGAAAAAGCAGAGTTTGGTTGTTGGGAACGGGAGAAACAGAAATGAAGCAACAGAGGGAGCATTTGCTTGTGCTACCACTCACTCACTGTAAACATTTTATCATGGTTCATACCACGAAGATACGTTTTTCTTTGTTTTTATACTCATGTATTCGTTAAAGCATTGGATCCAAATGAAAAAAACAGTGTTTTCGAGCTTGTAAAACAAAATACTTCAATGAACTTAAATCCGAACATGATTTAAGGAAGCAAGTTTAGGTCTCAATCTTCCCATTTTTTCATGTTTCATTCCCATGCTTATCAATATAATTAGGCTTCCTCGCCCTTATAGGATTATGGGAAAAATAATTTTCCCATATGCCATCAACCGTATTATTAATGCTTCTTATTGGTTTGAATACGTTGTGCGCCCCTGGAGTATTCTCAATTTGCCTGAAGACGTCATGTAGTTGTGGGGTCTTCTTCATTTGTCTGAAGATGTCATGCAGTTGTGGAGTCTTCATATTTAGCTTGTAGACGATTGGAGTACCTGGCGTCTTTAGGTTAATACTGTTCAATTCACCCTAGATAGAAAAATAATTCCCGAGATGGATTATATCGGGAATTAAAAAATCTCACTTACATTATCTCAGTCATTTTGCCGTTAATTGACTGATTTGGAAATTTTCTAAGATAAATGAAGAATATCCCACGACTGCATGGCGTCTTCAGATAAATTAAAAAGATCTAAGGAGTGTGTGTCTTCATACCAATAAAAAATTCTAGTTCAAAAAATAATATGAAAAATTATTTTTCCCACAAACTATATGCGAGGGAGCCTATGTACCGCCATAAGTTTGAAAGGGTATGTAAAAAAGGAACACTTCAATGGAACTTCAATGGAATCTCAATGTAGTTGAGTGAAGGATTGGATTTTATATTTGAGAAAATAATCTCAGTGACCAAAAATACCTTATAATATACGATTTTAATCAATTTTTTTTGGATTTGCCAAAATGACCAACTAAATCGTAATGCGATCGATAATTCGCAACGCGATCTCCGGTATCGCAAATCAGTTTCCAGATTCGCAACGCGAACTTCGACTATCGCATTGCGATTTACATATTCGCATTGCGATAGTCCAAGTTCGCGTTGCGATAGTCGAAGTTCGCGTTGCGATTTATTCCAAATTCGTTGCGATTTATTCCAAATTCGTTGCGATAATCCAAGTTCGCGTTGCGATTTATTCCAAGTTCGTTGCGATAGTCGAAGTTCGCGTTGCGATTTATTCTAAATTCGTTGTGATTTATTCCAAATTCGTTGCGATTTATTCCAAGTTCGTTGCGATAGTCGGACCAAATTCGTTGCGATAGTCCAAGTTCGTTGCGATAGTCGAAGTTCGCGTTGCAATTTATTCCAAATTCGTTGCGATAGTCCAAAATCGCAACGACTGTATTGCATTTGTTTCTTAAGAATTTTCTCTAAAAAGATAGTATTCGCGCGGACGTGTCGAAGACACGTATTACCACGACCACGACATATAAATTAGGGGTGAGCGTTCGATCGAGTCGAATTTTGTTCACCACTAATGTAAATTACTTTTAAATTTTAATAAAATATTGACGAGGTATAATTGATATATATATACAAAAAATAATTTTTAAAAATAAAATTATTTTTATTCTTATTTCTCAATACGGTTAAAAATATTTATATACGATTTCCTGAAGTAGAATCATTTATTTGTATATGTAAAAAAAATTGAAATTGTCCCATATATAAATATATATTTCTTATAAATATAATTAACGTTAAAATTACTTTCAATCCCTCAAAATTAAAAAAATTTAAGTCTACACTGATTTTACCATTAGATTTAGGGTCAATTATAGAAACGGTCACTTTTGTTTAAATTTTATAAATTTTTCTTCATTGAATTCAAAAAATAAGATTTAATCAATTTCGACTCATTAACGTTAACTTTTGTTAGTTTGATGACGTGCACGTTAGTAAAAGTATTTAATTTTTATTTGAACTCCTAAAATTTAGATAGAATACTAATTAGGGACCTTTTTATAAATTCAAAGTAGTTTAGGGACAAAGTTCTAATTTACCCTTTTTAATATTTTTTCTTTATTCCCCGGGCTTCCCCACCTGCGCCGCTGCACACCTCTTCTTGCTGTTCATCTTCATCGTTGCACAAGACATCCAATACATTTCATTATGTTGCCTAGCCACTTTAATTTCAATCTGATTAAATGATTTTGGATTACTAACTACATTATTAACCCAAGCCATATGAACATAAACAGAGGTTCTGTTGAGATTCAAGAATATTGAAGTAATACAGAAAACGTATCTATTTCTTTCATTTATCAGCTAGATCTATATATATATACATTTATTCAGCTGAGCTGGCTTAACAGCCTTAACCAACTCTTAACAACTTGCTAACAACCCCTAACCAACTAACCAACTCACACAACCATATCAGCTCAACAGCACACGCCTATATTCACACACACTCACACTCATGCATTACTAATATTCTAATATTCTTCCTGCTCCTTCGACCCTTTTTTTAACAACAGGGCAATACATATAGTTGATCTCTGAAGACCTCAAACGCTCCCTTTGTCAGCAACTTGGTCAGCCCGTCTGCCACCTGATGGCACTCTAGAACATAGTTCACCTGAAGTTGTTTAGCTTCAACCTTTTCACGAACGAAATGCACGTCCATGTCAACATGTTTTGACTGAGCATGGTACACTGGATTCGTACTCAATGCAACAGCGCTTGTATTATCACACCAGTCAGCAACTTGGTCAGCCCGTCTGCCACCTGGCACTCTAGAACATAGTTCACCTGAAGTTGTTTAGCTTCAACCTTTTCACGAACGAAATGCACGTCCATGTCAACATGTTTTGACTGAGCATGGTACACTGGATTCGTACTCAATGCAACAGCGCTTGTATTATCACACCAAATGACAGATGGGATTCGATTTTTCACCCCCAACTCACCTAATAGCGAGCTGATCCAAGTAACTTCAGAAGCTGCCTCAGCAACACTTCGATATTCAGCCTCCATCGTAGACATGGAGACAATCTTTTGCTTCCTCGAGCACCAAACTACAGGACACGCACCAAGATACACTACATGGCCAGAAACTGATCTTCGGTCATCAAGACTGCCTCCCCAATCTGCATCAGCAAATGCCACAACATCTGGTGCCTTGCTAGCACCTGTAAATGTGAGACCATAGTCCAATGTTCCAGCTAAATACCAGAGCATCCTCTTTACTGCAACCATATGTAGCTCACGTGGAGCGTGCATGTACTGAGCAGTCTTGTTAACACTGAAGGCAACATCCGGTCGTGTATGACACACATACAAAAGAGCACCAACAATGCTACGATACTCTCGAGCATTTGTTAACAATTCACCAGCATCATGTGTTAATTTTGGAGCACCAATCATCGGGGTAGCAGTGGTGTAGCACCTAGTAAATTTGTTTCTCTAACACTCAATTATACTCCTCTGAGACAACACCAAGGACTCATTTTTCCTTGTAACTTCATTGCCCAAAAAGTATGATAGCTCTCCTAAATCTTTTAAAGAAAATTGCAGGTTCAATATTCTCACCACTTCATCAATAACATGAGAGGAACCACCAGTAAGGATTATGTCATCAACATAGACAAGAATATAAGTAAAGCAACCTCCATTATTCTTAACAAACAGTGAGACATCAGCTAGATACTCACTGAATCCCATCCTGATCAAATTGGTTTTAAGTTTATCATGCCTCGCAACAACAATTGATAACACTGTATTCAATGTGGCAAACTTAATAACAGGACTATAGGTCTCTTTAAAATCGCAACCAGGTACTTGCGAGTATCCCTTTGCCACAAGCCTAGCTTTGTGTCTTTCCACAGTTCCATCAGGTCTCCTTTTTATTCGAAATAACCATCTGCATCCAATCACCTCACGATCTATAGGCATCTTCATAACCGACCAAGTATTGTTTCTTTGCAGTGCATCAAACTCGGCCTGAACAGCTTCTCTCCAGCTAGAATTGTTGAGAGCCTCATAGACATTGTTTGGGACTTCACTCACAGCATTAGAGGTAAAAACCTTTGGTCTGAATATGCCACATTTACTCCTTTTCATCATCGGATGACTATTAACTTGTGCATCACTCAAATTTTCTGCACCTTCTTCTGTGGTATTCAACTCTTGAGTCTCATCATGTGTACTGACTACCTCAACCTGCTCAGTATTACTAGTATTTTTACCAATGACTGAAAAATCACTCGACAGTTGTTGCTCAGAACTCGACACATTATCAGCAGTCTCCACCCGATGACCTAAACTTGCAACAGGCAAACTACTTGAATCATCATTTGCATTATCTACTAAATTATGTTGAGACCCTGTGGTGCACCTTTTTCCTTGAAGTCTGCTAACATCAGTAACAATTCCGATTGAGCCAGATGGTTTGTTGGTGGTCAATGTGGCAGCAGGTAACTGAGCACATTTCTTTGCAAATGGAAACTGACTCTCATCAAACACCACATGTCTTGTGATATAGATTCGACCATCATCAGCAAGACACTGAAAACCCTTATGTCGAGTACTATAGCCTAAGAAGGTGCATGGTTTGGACCTAAAGTCCAACTTGTGCTTCAAGTATGGTCTCAAATGAGAAAAGGAAAGGTAGCCAAATACTCTTAGCTGTCCATAAGCAAGTTTTTGATGAAATAGCTTCTCGAACGGTGATGCACCATGCAAGACCCTTGTAGGCAGTCTGTTAATTAAATGGACTGCAGTAACAACTGCATAAGCCTAAAATTTGACAGGCATCGACGCTTGAGCAAGCAGCACAAGAGCTAGCTCTATAATATGACGATGCTTGCATTCTACCACTCCATTCTGCTCAGAAGTGTGTGGACATGTAAGCCTGTGTGCAATGTCTGCTTTCAACAAGCAGCTCGACGGCCTTCG